CTCTATCTGCATTTGAACCAGTTTTAATCGAACAGTTAATGTACCCGCGAAGTTCTAATATCAAACTTTATTCTTTTAATTGGAAATTTAGTTCTTTTCGCGTAACATAATTGTAATTATAATTATTTTTTATGAAGCCGACTTTTCGATTAATTTTTCAATTATTATTTTATATTTGTAAATATTTATTTTATATTACTATAACATTCGATTACGTCAACAAATATAAACGAATTAAATAAGTAAGGAATCGCAAAATATTTCTGATTGAGACTAGGTATATTAAGCTAGCTTAATAATATTTCTATGTAAATTTCAAATATATCTTTTAATCATAAACTGCTGCGATTGTTTGCAATACAAACGAACTGAAATAATAATCTTATAAATTAAATTGATCGTTTATTTGATAAGAATGCTGTTAGCACCTTAAAATTCTGTAAAGAACTTATAAATATAAATCGTCAAGTTAACGCAAATCTAATTTCGGGAGAAACAATGAAATTATTAATATTGTAATTTAATAATAAATTAAAAGTGGAACTACCAGTTCGTGAGAATACGCAATTGCTATTTTTATTTTCAGCAGTATTTTCCGGCTCTTCTATGCAAAAGAATGGGGATAAGAGAGGCGGAGGAGGGGGAGGGGAGGAGGGGGAACATGGGTTTATGAAACTGTTATATTTCGCTATCCTTGCTATACAGTAACTATGTTTCTGCTGCGCACGTCGCTTCTATACAGAAACTACAGGGCATAGTGTGTGCAGTCTATGCACTCGACGAAGTTTACTCGCCGCACTGCAGTGGTAACGACTCGTCGGCGTTGCTGCTGCGTGCCTTCTCTTTCGTTGAGAATGGATTCTCCCCTATCCTCTCTGAAATGATTTTCGAGCACGCACGCACGCACGCACGCACGCACGCACGCCCGCCCGCACACCGTCGTACCTCGACAGGTATCTCGATGATAGATAAGCCCCGCGTACGGCTTTTTTATTCATCCTCGTTGCTTCCGGTCCCTTCACGATTCCCTGGCAAACTGCCCGGATCGCAGCTCGTCCGAACCAGGACGCGCGGATTCTAAAGTTCGACGCGAGGCCCCGTTAGGCAGTGCCCATTTAAAAATGAATTTTTTTTTGTTTCTCTCTCTCTCTCTCTCTCTCTCTTTTATGCGCGCTTTTTCTTTTCTTCTGTTTCTTTTTCCGCGCGGAACGTTCTGGTCGAACGAAGCTGCGCCGTGAAAGTTCGCGTATCCGCGCGTATTTTTTCAAGCGAATCCGTGATTTTTTGGAAACACGATGTTTTTCGTAATGATGATAAATAGACAAATGGATAGATTGTTTAAATATAGGATAAGTTTCTTAAAAATCCGTGTGCAGAATAGCAATGCAATGTAGATACGCGAGTATCTACAACCTTAGCCATGAATATAAATCACTCTCAATTTATTGCATTTTTTTGGAAAAGGCGACAATGCAAGCCATAGAGAAAATAATAAAATTGTTATAAACATAAATATTATTTTTATAACAATTTTATTATTTTCCAATTAAACTGGTTTTTCATTTATTTTTTGTTAGGTATAAACGTTTTACATCAGATTGTGAAAGTGCTTTATACTTATCACTAAGACTGTAATTATTTTAGTGGAAGTTACGCTTTAAAGTAAAGAAGCGATTTATTAAGTTTTTAAATAAATTATTTAATTTTTAAAAATATTTAATATGTAATATTTTTTAATTTTGTTTAATATTTTTTCAAGTAAATAAATTGTTAAACACATAGGCCATTTTTCTTAAAATCCGTATACAGAATAGCAACGCAGTTATACATTTGTGACTGCATTACATAACCTTAGTCATAAAGCATTCTGAATTTATTGCACTTTTTTAGAAATGGTGATAATAAAAACCAAAGGAAAATTAACAAAATTTGTTATATAAATAAATATTATTTTTTAATTAAACCGTTTTTATTTTTTGTTAAAATATTTTACGTAAATTTGAGAATGCTTTATATTTATATAGCTAAGGCTGTAATTAATATTTTAATTGAAGTTATGTTTTAAAATAAAGAAAAATGATTTATTAAGTTTTTAATATATTTCGGATTTTTACTTAATGTTGGTTACTTAATGTTACATAATGTTGGTAAATAGACAAATAGATAGATTATTAAACATAAAACAATTTTCTTAATTCATTTGTAGAATAATAATGCAACTTAAATATATAATTATTTTAGCTGAAATTATGGTGTAAAATAAAAAAAGTATCACTAAGTGTCCTTTCAGTAAAATAAAATAGGAATTTGTAAATGAAAATTTTGTTTTTTATCGCGGATGTATCTCTCTTGTATGACAAAGAATGATGATTGATCGTGGTGGAAAGTAATCATGTAAATCCAAGTAATCGATTTTCTTTCGCTTACCACGCGACACTTAGTGATCACGAAATTCTATTCAATTCGAAATGCTTTTAACGAAATATTAGATGAAGTTGCCGCTGTGACCGAATTCGCGATGCCTTGGATTTCGAAAGATTTGTCACCGACATATGTTAGCATCCTCAGGGAGAACAACCCGGGGGAAGATACAGAAACTTCTCACTCGCGGAAACATATGTAGCGCACGTTCGTCTGCGGAGAAAGAATTCTTTATGGACGCCTCGTAGAGACTCGTATATTATCGCATAATCGTAAAGGCTTAAGCGCAATGCGGTCGGCTTCTCTCCACCAGAAAACTCGGGTTGAAACTACGAACGTTGCGTTTTCTTTCCGACTGTCTTTCTACCATCTTTTTCTCTCTTCGCTCCCTCTTCCCTCCCCCTTCTTTTTCGTAGTATTTGCGTTATTCCCTGACTCTCCAGGAGGATTTCACGGACAGTTCGGTCGCACGTAAAAGATGAAACGCCAGCGGGAGAAGCAGACAGCGGGACGAAGTCTCAAGGCAGGAAGCTGCTTGTGAATTTTTCAGACTACGATGAATTACCTCTGATAGCAAGTCCAGACGCAGAGCTGCACGGAGAACGAGAGCTCCTATAGTGATGGATGGGTAGATAGTTTGTGCAAATTGTAATAATTCGACGAGTGTGTCTGCATTATATATTTATCGTGATGAAATCAGTTGGAACGGGTGATGTGAAAGCAACTGAGTCCTAAGGCGATTGCTTCGAGCGAAATTCGACCGGTGAATAAATTTCACGAGAGTAGCTGCCGAGAATGCATCGAGGAAATCGAAAGAATTTTCTGATTTGCCATTTTCGCGATAGATCAATCATTTTATGCTTTTTATAATAATTGTTTTTAAAATACAAGTTAAAATTTGTAGAAAATGATTTATTCGAGCGATTTTAGATTTATATTATCGTAACAATAAGATTGAAGTATTGGGATAAAATATATTATAAGTCTTATATCGTGTTAAAGGATAGAAAAATAAAAATGTCTTTAACAATAGTATTTATATCCGATGATTTATTACAAGTTATATCGTAATATGTAAAAAAAATAACACGTTTTTAAAATTACGAGGAATTACGAACATCCGCTATTACAAGAATTAAAGTAAAAAATTAATTGTATTAATTATAAATTTATTCAGCAAATTACATACTATTATAATAATAAAATTGAAAAAGTGAAATAATATATGACAGGTAATGCATTGTTTTATAGGACGTAAAAATAAAAATGTCTTTATTAATGTAACATCTATACAGTATTCATAAATTATACTGTAAAGAATATAATAACAAAATAGTACGCTTTCGAAATTACAAAGGGGACATTCATTGTTACTGCGAATTAATTTAAAAAGTTAATTTACGTCGTCACTTTCTGTTAATCTTGGATGTGTCAACAAATTACATAGCTGATTACTATTATAATGCGGAATGTATTAGAATATTTCACAGAGAAAAATATGAGACAATTATATATGCATGCGCTTCTTTGTATGATAATATTATATGATAAAAAATACCTGTACAAAGTGTTATTTTAGACTTCGGAATTGCATATTTCGAAGCACATAAAGAAAGAGAAAAATTTTTTAGCATGATATATCTGTCTTCAGCTTTAAAGTTCAGCTTGAAGATATGCAATTTTGGAATTTGAGATGAAACAGAGAAAATATTCAGTCTCACAAGCTGGTCGCGGTTATGATATTGTATCATTCACGACAAGAAAATCCAGGATCTCATCATTATACTTTGCGTTTGGATGTACCATTTTCTTCTATATTTATGAAGATTCTATCTCTCTCTCTCTCTCTCTCTCTTATTATGAAACATTTGCGGGCGAGATCTCTTTCGCGAGACATCCACGACAGGACGCAATATCGCATCGCGACTACAAACGTGCATACACGCCTCGCATAACACGCGCGATATTACGCTGGATAAGAAAGCCTAGGGTTTTCATTTTGATTGTCATTGCTTGAAATGTCCCCTCCTTCCGCGGTGACATCATCACAGTTGGAAACCAATCAATCAGGAATAATTAAATTGTATTATATAATAGCTACACTCCAAAAACTATGGATGTGGATTTAACATGCAGTGTTTATATATTATAATATAATTCTCACCAAGTTGGTATTGATATAAACAATATAATGTGACTTTAACATTACGGCTTTTAAATCCACATCATGTTGGTGATATTAACACTAACATGGTGAGAATTACATACGAGTACATTAAACATCATATGTTTAAAATTAAATCCACACCTATATTTTTAGAGTGCTTCTGCAATTAGCTGTTCATGTGATGTTTATCTTCTATAGCACAAGCTTTCCAGGGACGTTTAAAGATATTCAGAAGATATTCTATATCCCAAGAATGTCCCTCGGATAAATTGTATCATATGGGACGAGTCTATGGTGCGAGTAGTTAGCATTTTCGCATAATTCTTTGACGAGTGCGCGGAGTAATCCCATTTGTTTCCGTAGAATTAACGACTGAGATTAAGCTATCGTCGAGCGTATATTTCTGCCTCACCTGATAGTCCATGTAATTTCCATAGCCCATGTGGTTGCATGTGCAGGCGCATGCCTGAATGTGCCTCCGCATGTCGAGTTCGACCTCTTCGCCACATACGCCTCTGCTCGTCGCCATCATCGTATCTCCCATGCAATAGCCGCCGGTGCAATACATTCTCGGGTCACTCTGATCCAGGTAACCCCCACCGGTGTCGTCGTATCCGAGCCCGCTGGCGCACCTGGAATCCGAGGCGTATCCCACCCGGGACTGAGGACGTTCCTCGTAGCCCAGTCTAGACTGGGACCGGTGGAATGTCGAGGATACATCCTAAAAAAAAAAGGGAAAATTATCTTACAACAAATCACTAGTAGTTGAGAGTTCTAGATTCAAACTGCTGAGGATATATTTTTCGCAATAAGTTTTTTGCAATATTCTTTTAAAGATGTTTATTAACATCGCTATTAAAATTGACGATCAATTAATTTATCATGCTATTTCCAGTTTTAATTTACGATCGCATTTCAAGTCTAACAAAGTCTGAATCGGGGCACAAGTCATAGAACTAAAACATTTATTTAGCACCAAAATCCATTTCGAAAATAGAATTCTTTTTATGACTTAAATTATTTAGTCTTTCGCCTCGATTAAAGCGATTGGCAACTCATAATTAGTGCAACCGACAATATTACGATTCCTATCTCATAGCAAACTCTTCTTCCGGAAATGTATCGGGTTTTTAATTATTCACGATTAAATGTTAATATTCACAGTAAACCAATTTTAAGTTTGCATTTCCGACATTTTATAACTCAAGATATATATGTTAATTTTACAGAAAGCTTAACTAAATTTACGTAATTTTATTAGGTTTTAAATTTGAATATTAATTTTAGTGATAAATTTTGACGAAACTATTTTTAATAAACAAATAATTTTATTTTTTATACGCGTGTTATTTTTTTACCGTAACTCGCAACTTTCCTTTTGTCATATTCAAAATCGTACAAATATGATTTGTTAAACGATAAACAATGAGAATGTGTCAAATATGATTCTATGCTTGTTGGCTGGGATATTGTTGTATGTATGTATCAGTTAAAACGAATGGCGTGTACCTTCTATGCATTGAATAGCAACTTTAATTGGCTTTTTTGTATACAAAATACTGACCGAAAATGATTCGAAAATAATACTGTTTTTGTTGAAACATTGTCGGGAAAAAGTCATGTAAATCGAATTAAATTAACTGTTAGCAATATTACATAAGTGATAAAAATTAATAAAAATAAAGAATGAAATATAATTGTAATATTGAGCAAAAATCGAGGGAATATTAATTGCTTCTTAAAAAATAAATTAAAAACTAACTTGTATATTTATAAATATATTTAAAAAATTATATTTCTAACACTAATACATGGTAGAGTAGTATAAAACAAAATAGATTATCTAATTGAAGTATTCTTATGTTCCTACTGTATATGTATGTATTGGTCGAAAGCAATTCGGTTGATTAATCCGTCTTCGCAAACGAGATATCGTTCGCCAACCAGACATGCCAAGAATCTCTTGGAATATGAAGAAATTTAATATTCGAGACGTACAGCGAGCACTTAGAATTTGAAAAGAATCGTCTTAATGCAGCACACAAAGACGGAATGCGTTGGCGTGGGAATTGCAATTGCGTAAGGGAATGTATAACGTGCCAGTCGCATCTGCGGATTAAATCTTTTCCATAACATGCGGAATTATTCACTTCGGTTTATATACCCACGGCAGTTTCCTTATTTATGCAACAAAGAGAAGGGTTTGTTTGTTACGAATTGCATCGATTTGCAATAAGTAACGATCTATAGCAAGAAAAGCATTTTGTGCGAAAATCTATTATAGGAAATATACTCGGTATAATATACAGGTATTTCTCGATTGCCATAATTTTTGAAATATTTTCAATGGATTGACAACAAAATATTTTTAAAATTTGGTTTTTAATAAAGAATTAATTGTGTTATTAAGAAAATTTCAAATTTATTAATTTTTTTAATAAAAAATCGAAATCAAATTATTTTTTTTAAACGAAATTTTGTTTCTCCATCACATTTTTGTAGCACACAATAAAGATGAATTCATAAAATATGAATTGATATAACATTATGTATTATTTTGTTTATTCGATCTCAAGATAATTCAATTAATTTAGAAAATAATCCATAAATCTATTGTCAATACATAAAGTGTTAATTTTAATTAAATTAAATTATTTTTAATTTTTAATTAAATTATCTTGAGATCAAATAATCAAAATGATACATAATGCTATATAAATAAATTCATCTTTTTATGTATTACAATATAAAAAGAAAAATATATAGTTTTACTTTAAAAAAACATAATTTGACTTCGAATTTTTATTAAAAAATTAAATTCTTTTTACCTAATTAATTTTTTTATTAAAAATCAGAAAACTTTTGCCAGAAATATTTTGTTGTCAATTCAATTCAATGGAAATATATCAAAAACCATGGCGATACGAGGAGCATTTTGCATACAAAAGTAATGCGATAATTTATAATCGCTATAAATATTTTAATAGTCTATTTTGGAGATTAATTAGAGTTGAACGTTTACCTATGAAAATGTTAAAGTAATAATTTTCGAATTATAAGCGATCATAGTTGGTCAGTGATTTGCACACTCACACAGATTGAGATCTGCAATATTTCATTTGCATTTGCTTAATCTGAATTCGGTTTTATATGGTATAATCTGTAATCTCTTATTGAATTTAGCAAGTGATATTGCAAATATTATATACATTTATACATAATAATTATCATACATGTTGTATTTTATTTTATCAATCTCTCTTTTTTCTCTTTGTGTCCAGATATTAGCGTATCAAAATTTGAAAACTCTGTCTGCAACTGATATAATCTGATAATTATAATACTATTAAAATATTATACAGCGATTGTGGGATTACTGTATTTTCGTGTATCGTTTAAACATAAATCAATTGTCGAAAATCTTTTGCAAATCTATGATCCAAAATAAATGTATTAATAAACTACATATATTTGAAATTGATATTATTTTATATCTTTACGCTGCCAAATATTCTTGAAACAAACACTTGTATAATAGAAAAAATATTTTGTTTCATAAACCAAAATTTTGCTGTAACAAAATAAAATACTTGATTAAAATATACCGAACAAAACTGTTTAGTTGGTATAAAATATTTTTGGTAAAAAAATGTTTTTGTTATTTACAAAGCAGAAAAGTATATTTTGCAGAGACAATTAAATTTTTTTATTATATAAAACAAAATATTTGGTTGTTAAAAATACCTGGACTAAACAGTTTTGCTGAAGATATTAAATTTTTCTAATACGTGTATTGCGGTGAGTTTAAGGCAAAAAAATTACAAAAAAAAGGGAATTTTATTCGTCATGTTTATTTCTTGTTCATTCTTTCGGTACACTCGCAGTTACCACGATTGCGCGTAGCAGTATTCGATGGCTTGTAAGCTACCATATTCCGCGTATGTTGTCGCATCGTCGTTCGATATGGACGGCGGTAGCTGCATGCACGACGACCGCCAGTGCAAATCGAGTGGCTTTCTATCGCCGCTATCTTTACACCCACCACCGATATGGCTTCCCGTAACAGTAAAGTATCGATATCGCTAAAATAACCGGAACGTATATACGGTCTTCGAGGCCGAAACCATTTACACGGCGCAGGATCTTGAAATTCGCCTTGAAATGTTCCGTCGTCACCGCCATACGATTTTGAACGATAGAGACTGTAGGAGTATAGTTGGCACCTTGCTTCGCGATTTTACGATCGCGGGATAATGTCTTTTGAACGACGCGTTCGATCGATAGTTTGCTGATTTTTGAAGATTTGCCGTATTCTTTCCAAGCTTTGTAAATTCGATTGGTCTCGCAAAATGATACGTACTCAATATAACAATAATGTACGACAAGTTGCGCTTTATTTAAATAAAGCATAAAATATTTTTTTATTCAGATAAAAAAAGAACGAACTGAAAAAAGCTGTTATATGATAAATGAAAAAATATATAACATTTTGGGAAAAATTTTTTATTTTGAAAAATTAATATTTTTAATTACCTAAATTGTTCTTCTTTCTTGTTAATCATAATTCACGGATCCGATGTATCCAGACATTTTCTTCAATTACATTATGAAAAATTGTTCATAACGAATACTTTTCACAACCTTACATAATTTTAAGTTAGTCTTATTTTTCGGATTTTGCTCTCTAAAATGGACTTGTATTATACTAGTTAGACAAGTTTTGGAACGAATGTCGATTATAGGGTTAAAGTTTCAACAATTCTCCTATAATTTAATTCTGTATCAATAAATCTTTTTTAGAAGAAAAATAATACAGCAGTGTAATTAAATAGAGAAAGTGCACGTTTGAGAAGTCACCTGCGGCGATATCATTCCGTAGAAAATATCGAGAGGTGGACAAATGATCGGCACGTGATCGCAGTGCGTTATGCATTTGCGAAATTGTGTCCGCAGGCGACGTGTGGCTTGCTCGCGGCTAGAGATATCGAAATTTAATAGGATATTGATACTTTTACTTTTTGGTTTTAAATACCGCAAGTATCGACATTTTCTATAACATATTCGATAGTTCTCGTTCATAAATGTTGATATTAATGCTCATGATACATAAGAAAGGCAAAGACCGGCTGAACAATCGAATTTAAACGAGGACACTCAATACATCTCGGCGCATCTTTATTTAAAGCTTGGATATCACGTCTTATCCTTTAGCTATTTTCACGCACGATTACAATCATCGTTTTTAAAAGTATTCAATGTAGGAAGCAAAATATTGATATTGTTCTTGTTCTATTTCGCACGATAATTAATTCAATCCAATAACGTCGATTTTATTCTCAATTTACCGTCATTTTCGCGATTCTACGGGACGTGATCTCGCGACGGAAACGACCTCCGTCGAATCGATAGTCCGTACTAATGCTCGTATGGTGAAACTTGAAGGGCTGAAGCGCGCCGAGCCGAATCAATTTTCGGATAGCGAAAACCCGTAATAGCTCTTCGAAGATTCTCGCGTAGAAGTTAAAGCGGGCTCTAGCTGAATTTGCGCAAGCGAAGAGACGAAACTCGTGACGTACGGCTATTAGGAACCTCGCTGACGAGACTATCCGGAGATAAATATCGAGCCTCTTTTCCTACGAGCATCGTATTAATAAACGCCGTTGAGTTGACGGGTGGAAAAAAATAACCTCGTAGCGATTAGCGATGCGACGCTTTTAGCGTCGACGTTGCATTAAACTTCGATTTCAAAGTATTTCGAGGATGCATTCTTTTTTTGCTTTACGTACCGCCCGCAAAGTTCTAATTGTAGTTGTTTGTCTTCTGCGCTGTGCGACAAAATATACGGAGTATTCGGAAATGGTGGATGGAAGATTTAGAGGCGTATTCTTTTGAGCTTAGTGCATTTTTATTGAACGACATTTGAAAACGCTCGATATCTTATTTTATTTTTTTTTATATCGATTTTTTAAAAAGTACTATATTACGTTAATAATTTTTCGTAAGGTGAATTTATATTTTCTTGAAAAAGAGCGATGACAATTCTTTTTGTCTTGTTTATGTATTACGATATGAATTAATAGATTGCATCTCATAAATAATTTTTCTTACATCTTTAATATCAGAGAAGGCGAGGCACATTATTATGCATGAAAACTTCTCGCGATTCGTATTATCGGATAGCGATCGTTTCAGTTCGCTGAATCATGGCGATCTTAAAGTCTGCCCTTTCCACGTTAACTAAGCTCCTATTTTCCTGGAAGCAGCAAATTCAATTTTCGCCATTCGATAATCATAAATACCAGACTCGAGCGGTTACATTATAAAACGGTGAACTCGTTCGATTCTATTGGATAATTATCGTGTAATACCTATATCTAGAGGGGATATCAAATTTAATTGACATCGATTTGTGCAGTGGCATTTTGTACCGAAGTTTAACGCGATATTAATCGCATTAAGATAAATTATAGTTTATCTTAATTATCAACATTAATTTTAGCTTATGACGACAGAAAAGCAAATTTATGTATTACTCGTTAAATATTTTTATGAAAAACATGCCATTTATTCATGTAGATACAGACAAAAAGTATGAATGGGACTTATTCGTTTGTGCTGCGTAAATGTATTTCAAAACTACTTCCAAAGTTAAATTTTATCTGGTTATTCTATTAAAACTTTTCATTTGTTCATATGTAATTTGATGGATACATGAGAATAAAGCACTTATCATGGAACAAGTCGGAATGGATTCCGATCGGAATTATTTCGTTTTCCCTAGGAAACACAATAGAAATCTAGGGAATAATTAAATAATTCCGATCGGAATTCATTTCGAATAATTTCATAATACGTATCCAGTAGTAATAATAACTATAATGTAATTTCGAACGAAAAGGCAACACTGATTGAATTTTTTAAGCAATCGGAAACTAGTAATTCCAGTACTAATAACACAAATTAGTCTGTTGTGCTGGCGAAAGTTTTCATTATACAATATTCGTATGTTTTCGTACGCAATCGGATCAACCGTGTTTAATTCATTCTTGTTTAACGACCGAATTTCTTTGCAATATTTGAGAAGGCATATTTTTCCGTTATACATAACTTGCTTCGTATTTTTTAAATAAAATATTTTTATGCTTTAAACTTGTCGTACACGTAAAGAATGAGAAAATAATATCGGTAAGTTCGTATAAAATTACGAGGGATTATGAACTTTGCGCGGCACATTGAATATCATTAACTTTACAGAACTTTACTGACGGTGGGTTCATTAGACTTACTCAATTATAAATCTCTTTATCAAAAATGTCAAACAATTCTATCTTCTTTATTTTATACGGAAAAATTTGGATTATTCTTATTAAAATGTACTTAGTATTAATTCTTTTTATACGAATTTAGTTAGCATAAATTAAATAGATTTCACACATTCAACGTCAGGAACTGCGTTACAGATTTTGGCGTCGACTTGCGAATTCAACAGCTGGAGTGTTTTTATACTCCAGCGGAAAAAAATGTAAAGTGTTATAAAATATTGCTTTCTATTGTTTAACATATTTTCTATCTGTTTTAATAATTATTCTTTTTGAATCTTTAAATATGCAATTCCATTGAAAAATCGCAATAAAGAAACATTATATTAATTAAAATTTTTTTTTAAAATATTATAATGTAAGCTACTTAACGTGCTTATTTTATTTAACATTTGTTCGGTTTCTGCTTGCTTTTTTCAGAAAATTGTGATTATCATTAATATTCTCAAATGCTAATATAAATCGGAAAATAATCAATAACATACAATATGTTATTAATGATAGTAATTTTAATTGGGGTGTAAAAACATCCTGGATGATCATTTATGTAGAAAAATCATGTGACCGCTCCCGGATTAATTAATATAAATTAAATGGATTTTATAGATCCAATAAATGCGTTAGAAATTTTCAGTACAGTTTCGGAGGGTTAATAAAATTCGAACTAATAAAAATTCATACCTGAGGGTAGGACTCTTCTTGATACGGCGTCCTGCGATGGCACTCGTCGTAGCACCTGGCGTCGTAGCCACTGGGCGGCCGTGGGTACGGATCTTGTGCCGCTACCGCAGCCGCGCAGCAGTCCGGGATTTGCGCCTGGTAGGTCTCGTAGGGACACTTTTGATCAGGCTGGACCGGTCTTGGAGCTTGGTGAACGCGCTCCTGCGGCCCGCCTCCGTAACCGGCACCTCCGCCACCACCTCCAACACCTCCAACACCGCCGACACCACCACCTGCGCCACCTCCACCGACGCCGCCGCCGCCGCCACCACCACCACCACCACCACCGCCACCACCGCCACCGCCAGTGTGATGCATCGTCGTCGTCCACTCTCGCGGACCTCCTCTCACCTGACCTCGCACCACACCACCACCACCCTCTCCCGATCACTGCATCCTAATGCTGCGTGGCGCGCGATACGCGATCGAATCCGCGGCCTCGGCGAGCCTTGTCTCTGTCGCGCGGCCCTCTTCGCACGGGTCCATCTTCACCACATTTAACTATACCTTGAGCTCTCTCTCCTTCTCTCTGCAAGCATCGGGTCCTCTCTAGCCCATATCCTACTCGTACCTGTGCAATTATTGCGTATGAGAAGTTTACGTGCGGGAGGTGCGTATTCGCGGGTGCATCAATTCGTCAAGTGGTAATGTGCACCGCGAACGTCGCCCGCATTCGCGCCCGACTCGCGCCTGCATCCCACTCGAATTAATGCACCGCATTACAACCCGGACTGATGTAACTCTGGGTCATCTGTATCTTCTCTTAACTGCCGAAAGTAAACCGCCGGGTCTCTTCTTTACCTACTTTGCGCGCATATCCACGAGGTAAGGTGGAGGGGAGGGGACTTTCTTGCTTATTTATTTACTCGAGCTCTTTTAATCTTAGTCCCTTCGGGCGCTTTTTCAGCGTCGTCTCGTAGCGTAAGCTTTTAGATACTCGTACTCGCGGAACGACGATGCTCGATCAACGTGCCAGACTTGATCCACTCATTGATCTTCTCTGACCCCTTGTCTGGCGAAGCGTACGTGTGTTGCTGTGTAAACTAATGAGTTTGCAAGGAGTAGGATGAAGAATCGATCCTCTCTGCAATTTTGACACGCTAAGAATGCTAATGCGCAGCGCCGGCCATTTCGTAAGCTGCTTTTGGGACACGTGACGGTCTGTTACGTCAACAGACATCGAGTACGGTCAACGTGATGTTACAGCGGTGGTACGTGATGCTTTAAAGCGGTTTTTGATTAGTTAATTGTACAATTCTTTCTTCTAATTGGTCAATCAAATGCTTCAATTAAAGCGTCTGCAATGAGACTTTGACTGCAGCCAACGGTAAAGATGTTCCTTCATACATATACACAAGGATTCATGGAATGCTAATTTCATATGATCAGAGTATTTACTATAATCTTGTAAAAAGATTCTTGGAGAATTTTTCAGATATTTTTATTCAAAATTCCAGAGAACTATATATTAAAGGTTATTATAGAAAACAGGTATTCCACGAGACTATATTTATACTTTCTATAATTGGTACTACAAGACCTATATAGGATAATATAGACAAAGCTTACTATATACAAAATAGTAAGCATTGTCTTCTATTCTGTCACTCTAATTTGTGTTAAAAAGACTTGCGAGATACACGAGAATATACACAGATTTGTATACCATTCTTATTGCCAATCAATCAACATTTTGTATTATCAAGAAAAAAATGATGAAAAAGCAATGTTTTCAGGAAAAGATAGAATTTTTTAAAAGTACAATTTAAAATTCCAAAAATTTCCCTGAGTCTTGATGACATGAAAATCTCTAATTTTCAAGAAAAGAGACATCTCCTGGAAATTTCAGGCTTTTTCTAAGAAATAAACACCTCTAATATACTGGATATTACTGGAACGCGCCCCCATTATCTAAATGTAAAAATCAAGAATCAATAATAAATAAATATTCCGAAAGTATTTAAAGATAATTTAAAAGGAAAAAACAAAAAATATTCATTTATTATTTTATTTGATTCGAATTTATATAGCCTAACTATCAATTGAAACCAAATGCATACTTATTTCTATATTTTGGATAACAGAGAGTATAACATCCTCATTTCAATTTAAAGCATTGCATATATGGGAAAAGTAGGAAATATTAGCAATCTATGTACATAAATATGATATCGAAGGGATATTCTGCATACCTGATCTGCGATGAATTTCAAGAAGTTTATCTAGACTATTTCTATCGAAAATCCATCCGTCTTTTACGTGAAATGAATTTTGTCTCTTTGAAAACCATACGTACTTTCCTAATTTAAACTTACAACATTTGTGCGGTCTTCATGCTGATACATCCTCGTTATAGATCTCGGATATATTGGTTATGCGCAGGACTAAGTTGGATGAAGTGTCTGTGCATGGACCGTAATTAGCGCCTCTTAATTTATCGTGTAAGGGCCATACAAGTGCGCCCGAGTGAAACTTTGATGCAACGATAGAGCAGCATATAGGCGAGATCGTGTAAAGACCTAACGTGTCTATTTGGGACACGTTGGCATGTCTTTACCGTGGCTTTTGGATATGTTAATCGCAAAAGGCGCACCGGATCGATCGCCATATTTAGAACAACTATTCTGCTCCCATTTTCCTCTGTTCGAATAATTACATGTAGCTCGATTAGCTTACGAAACAACGATGTATGATTTAAACTTGCATGATGTCTGAATGACGCAACATACAAAGAGGAAACACAGCCATACAAAATGCAATCCCTATATTGCAATAGCCTGTATCCTTCCAATAGCCTGTATTTTCTTTATTACTGACACATAAAAATATAAGTGATATATAATATTATTAATAGTTAGTCTATTAATAGGTAATAAGAAAACATCTCTTTTTATTTAATATAATAATTTACTAAGAAATACGCCAATATTTGCCAGTGCAAATATGAATGGATAAATACAACTGAAATCTCTAGGCATATTGTTGGACTTGAAAACTGAAAAAAAAATATATATATAACGCTTGTGTCAACCTCTGGTATAGAAACGAAATATTTAGTTTCCGTTCTGCTTGTTCACAAACAAAATATTTCATTTTTGTTTTTATGAACTGAAGTGAAAAAAAACCTTTTAAAATAAATTTTAAATTTTAAATGTAATTTAATACAAAAAAATTTTGAAATTTAATATAAAAAAATTTTGTGCGTTTTATAGCGAACGAATGCTCCTGCAATTAAATGTCGATGGAATCTTGTGCGGCGCGTGCGTTAAATACGTGATATTTTAAAATTAATTAAATAATATCATGTAGTATTTCATTTATCTGATTATAACAAAAATGACATTATTATTTATCCCTTATTATAAACGCTGATTAAAAACTTAACTGTAATTAAAATAATTATTCTATTTTCGTTTTTATTACCAAGATTTCAATTAATATCGTTATTATCTCGGTTTAATATTTGATCGAGCTACCCATATGATGCCGATATGAAACCAATATATTGTTCATTATTATAGCTATAGATAGTAGATCGACTAGATATAGATACTAGCAACGTTATATCGGCAATCATTGCCTTTTATGATCTCGATTATAGAGACACTTTGTAGGTTCCTATAATCCGAACTTAATCCGCATATAGTATCTATAAGATGACGTCAGTGCTGCATTTAACTCGCGAATCGTTCTATGAGATATCCATCCAAAATCGATCTTAATTAATATTAATACGCGTGTATTATTATAATTTTTTATTTCTTAATTATATTATTTTTGAAGTATATAATCGTAATTCTTATCTATTTAATAAATTTTAACAAAGATATAATTTATTAAATTGTTCAATATTATTTGAAATTAAAAAGGAGCGGCAGAGAATTACATACACTGTAAAAAATAAAATGTTAATTTTAATTTAAAGACGTATAGTTACTTTCTGAGACATGCAAAAATATTAAAATTAATATTTTTGTGTTAATTTTAATATTTTTGTATGTCTTAGAAAAAGTCTACTATACATAAAGTTAAAATTAACATTTTATTTTTTACAGTGCATTGTCGCGTATTTGAAAAACGAGTGTATCTATAAATCCTGATTTGTAAATATGCCAGAAAATAATTTTAAATAATTTGTAAATAATAATTACAAAAGTTAAAGTATCTCTGTAATTGTTTTTATATGAATAAGGACCGGTTGTTCCATCTTTTGATAAATTTGATCCATTCAGTAAATCTGGCAATGTGATTGAGTAATCTTGCTGCTTACCAAAAAGTGGAACAATCGGACCCAAGAAAAGTTATTTAATTATCCATTGTAAATTTTAAGTTGCAATTTTTCTGCGATTGACGCGAATAATTACAGATTTTACAGATGCGAAATCTGATATCTTTCTGACGTGTGATCGATTTCATACTCAATACATTCTTGCGTTCAGTTCTTCACTGGTTCTAAATATATGAAATCACATTCAAGAATCTTACAAGATGCAAAATATGCTTTTTCTGTTGAATCTAGTCACATACGTCGCGAGATCTTCTTGCAGAGATTCAAGACGATCGGCAAGGCGAATTTTCGCGACTGATTCTCAAAGTAATCTCATTATTATCCACAACATCTCGGCTCTCACTCGCGTTGAGAAGCACGTTTCGGACGTTCGTGTGTCGGAAATCAGAAATCTCTCCGCAAATACTTCGGAAGATATCAGCGGCGATTTTCACCTCCGTTGTATCGCAGACGGCATAACTTGTTTCGACCAACAAATGCGAACGTGCTCGGAACTGCGAATCCGTTGGCTCTCTCGAGTGAATTAAACGCCGGGAAGATATCGAAGGAAAATTTTTCACGGTGCAAACGCGGATTTCAAAGAATTTAAAATACAGTCTCGGTATACAGAGCTTCCCATCGAGCTCTATTCTTTTTTATTATTGAGGTAGAAATGAAAGGAACATAAGTGCAAAGATAGTTTGGAGCATTCTTAATTCTCGGTTTAACTACTTATTTTTTTAAATCGTTCTTTTATTTTTTAATTAACGAGATATAATTAACGAGATATAATTTTGGAATATTTTTTTAAAACAGAGGAACATTGACTTTTCTCTCTGATATATCTGTCCTTGGAAACAAAAGATTTTTTTGTGAATTAACAAAGTTTTTTAAGGGCAGTTAAATAGAAAAATTTTTCTCTCATTTACATACTTTTTTGCTGAGTTTTATTTTCAGATTTGAATATATATATATAGGGTGTCTCTAAATTCTCTATTCAAAATAGTAGCAAAAAAAGTCCTCGAAAAATCAAAAAAAGTTATTTGTGAAT